TGCCATTTATAGCAACATGGATGAGCGTGGAGAAAATTATGTTAAGTGAAATAAGCCAGACACAGAAAGAGAATACCACATATCCTTACTCATAAGAGGGAGGGAGGGAGGGAGGAAGGAAGAAAGAAATTAAAGTAGGAAGAAAGAAAGGAAAGAAAAGACCACAATAATACATTGATCTTTCAGAAGGAGAGAACAAATCTATGGCTACTAGTGGTGGGACAGCAGGAAGAAAGGGCAGAGGGGAGAGACTGGGTAAAGGGCATAAAGAATAATTATAATCTGTAATAATCAGGATGCTAATAACATTGATTTGATCAACACATGTTGTACACAGGTGACAGTACTCAATGTTGTACCCCCAAAATTATGTATAATCATGCTTCAATTTTAAAAAAAGTTATACCACACAAATGGAAACAAAAAAAGAGCAGGAGTAGCTATTCTTATATTAGATAAAATAGACTTTAAACCAAGCAAAGAAGACCATTATATAATGATAAAGGAATGTATCCAGCAAAATATACAGTAATCATAACTATATATGCACCCAACACTGGAGCACCCAGATTTATAAAGCAAACACTGTTACACCTAAGGAAAGAGATAGACCCCAATACAATAATAGTTGGGGACCTGAATATCCCTCTCTCAGCATTGGCTGAGAATCAACAGAGAAACACAGGATTTAAATTACACTTTAGACCAACAGGACCTGGGAGATTTGTACAAACATTTCATCCAACAACTACAGAATATACATTCTTCTCATCAGTACACGGAACATTCTCTAAGATAGAACACTAGTTAAGTCACCAATCAAGTTGCATCAAATTTTAAAATATTGAAATTATTTCAGGTATCTTTTCAAACCACAATGAATTAAAACTAGAAATTAATAACAAGTAAAACTCTGGAAACTATATAAATACATGGAAATTAAACAGCATGCTCCTGGACAATCTATGAATCTAAGAAGAAATTAAACAGGACAGCAAAAAAATTCTTAAAATTAATGAAAATAAAGACACATCATACCAAAATATTTGGGATACTGCAAAAGCAGTACTAAGAGGGAAGTTTATTGCAATAAAAACTTATACCAAAAGAATAAAAGATTTCAAAAAAAACCCTAAAAGCTACATCTCAAAGAACTAGAAAAACCAGAAATACCAATCCCAATATTAGTAGACAGAAAGAAATGACTAAGAGCTGAACTAATGAATTAAAGACCCAAAAAAGATACAAAAAAAAAAATATCAATGAAACAAAAAGTTGGTTTTTCTAAAAGATAAACAAAATAGACAAATCATTATCTAGACTAACTAAAAAAAGGAGAGAAGACCCAAATAACAATAATTGGAAATGAAAAAGGAAGCATTACAATCTATATCACAGAAATACAAAGAATCATTTAGAGACTATTTTGGACAACTATTACACCAACAAATTTGAAAACCTGGAGGAAATGGATAAATTTCTGGACACATACAAACTACCAAAACTGAACCAAGAAGAAACAGATAGCCTGAACAGACCAATAACATGTAACAAGATTGAAGCAGTAATCAGCAGTCTCCCAACAAACAAAAGCACAGAACCAGACACCTTAACTGCTGAATTCTACCAAACTTTTAAAGAGGAATTAATACCAATCATCTTCAAACTATTCCAAGAAATTGAAACAGAGGACATTCTCCCAAACTCATTCTATGAGGCCAGCATCACCCTGATTCCAAAGCCAGACAAAGATACATCAAAAATAGAAAACAAGACAATATCTTTGAGGAAAATAAATGCAAAAATCCTTAGCAAAGTATCCACAAACAGAATACAGCAACACATCAAAAAAATTATACACCATGATCAAATGGGATTCATCCCTGGGATACAAGGATGGTTCAACATAGGTACATCAGCAAAAGTGATACACCACACCAATAAAATCAAGGACAAATGCCATATGATTATCTCAATAGATGCAGAAAAAGCATTTGACAAAATTCAACATCATTTCATGATAAAGACTCAGCAAATTAGGTATACAAGAAAACTATCTCAACACAATAAAAGCTGTATACAACAAACCAACAGCCAATATCATCCTGAAGGAAACTGAAAAGCTTTCAGCTTTTCCCTTAAGAACAGAGACAAGACAAGGATGCCCACTCTCACCACTTCTATTTAAAAAATAACATAGTACTGGAAGTACCAACCAGAGCAATCACGCAAAAGAAAGAAGAAAAAGGGCATCCAGATCAAAACAAAGTCAAACTTTCCCTGTTTGCAGATGACATGATCATATGTATAGAAAAACCTAACGAGCCTAACAAAAAACTCTTAGAGCTGATAAATGATTTCAGTAAAGTTGCAGGATACAATATCAAAATGTGACAATCAGTAGCATTTTTATATTCCAACAACTAACCCGCAGAAAAAGAAATCAAGAAAGCAAGCCCATTTACAACAGTCACTAAAACACAAAACAAGACAAAACTAGTAAGCAATTTAAGAAAGGAGGTAAAAAAAAAACCCTCTACAATGAAAACTATAAATCACTGCTGAAAGAAATTAAAGAGGACACAAAAATATGCTCTTGTATTGGAATAATTAACATAGTGAAAACATCCATACTACCCAAAGTGATCTACAGATTCAAAGTAGTCCTCATCAAAATACCAAAGACATTCTTCAGAGTAATAGAAAAAAAATCCTAACACTCATATTGAAAAACAAAAGACTTCAAATAGTCAAAGCAATCCTGAGCAAAAAAAAATAAAGCCAGAGGCATAATACTACCTGGCTTCATATTATACTAAAAAGCTATCGTAATTAAAACAACATGGTACTGTCATAAAAAGAGACACAGACCAATGGAAGAGAATTGGGAACCCAGGAATCAACCCACATACTTACAATCAACTGATCTTTGACAAAGGCAACAAGAACATACCTTGGGGAAAAGACTGCCTCTTCAATAAATGGTTCTGGGAAAACTGGACATCATATTTAGAAGAATGAAACTAGACCATATACCTAAATCAACTAAAAATGGACTAAAGACTTAATGTAAGACCTGAAACTATAAAACTCCTAAATGAAAACATAGGGGAAACATTTCAGGAAGTAGGTCTGGGCAAAGACTTTATGAATAATACCTCAAAAGCACTGGAAACAAAAGAAAAAATAAACAAATGGGATTATATCACACTGAAAAACTTCTGCACAGCAAAGAAAACAATCAACACAATTAAAAGACAGCCTGCTGAGTGGCAGAATACATTTGCAAACTATGCATCCAACAAGGGATTAATATCCAGAATACACAAGGAACTCAAATAACTTACAGTAAAAAAGCAAATAATCCAATCAAAAAATGGACAAAGGAGCTGAATAGATATTTCTCAAAGGAAAATATACAAATGTCCAGCAGACATGAGAAAAAACACTCAGCATCATTAAGCATCAGGGAAATGCAAATCAAAACCACACTGAGATATTATCTCACCTCAGATTTTATCAAAAAAACAGAGAATGACAAACGTTGACAAGGATGCAGAGAAAGGGGAACTCTCCTACACTATTGGTGAGACTATAAATTAGTGTAGCCATTACGGAAAACAGTATGGAGGTTTCTCAAACAACTACAGATAGAACTGCCATACAATGCAGCAATCTCACTACTGGGTACATAAGCAAAGGACTGGAAATCATCATGTTGAAGGGATACCAGCACTCCTATTATTATCGTAGCTCTATTTAGAATAGCCAAGAGTTGGAATCAACCTAAATGTCCATCGGTGGATGACCGGATAACTAAAATGTGGCATATATATACACAATGGAATACTACTCTGCTATAAAAAAGAATGAAATTCTGCCATTCACAGCAACATGGAAGAACTTAGAGAAAATTATGTTAAGTGAAATAAGCCAGGGACAGAAAGTATGTCCTCACTCACAGTGACAGCTAAAATAAATAATAAAAGAAAAAAGAAAGATACAACATTCAAAATAATTCAAAAGGAGAGAACAGAACTGAGGCTACTAGAGTTGGGAAAAGGGGAAGGGCGGTTAGTGAGAAATTGGTAAAGGTCCACAAAAAATGATTACACTGTGTAATGGTGAACATACTAATTATCCTGAAATAAAAATAAATAAAATTAATTTTTTAAAAATGGAATCCAAAGTTCCTCACTTTCATGTCCACAAATAGATTGGGTTTTAATGTAGAAACCTGTTCATACTCAATCCCATTCATGAGTCTGGGGCTCATCCTCTCCCCTGTGACTGAGAGACCGAGAAACAATAAAAATAAATGCCCATATAGCTGAAGCTAGGAATTTTCTTGAGATAGCCAGACCTGGCAAAGAACTAGAGAGCAAGGCTTCTTCCTGTGAAAATAAGGAAGAAGGAATTTGGCACCTTCCTCTCAAGCAAGGAGGTGCCAAATTTCTGATGAGATTTCAAGAAGGTAGTGTAAGTGGGACCTAGGGCTCAAACCTAACGGCAGTTGGGCCAGGTCAGAGATGGAGCAAGTTGCTTCGGGGACTTACCCTTCTGGGGGTCAAGGGAAAGCCCAACTTACCTAGACTTTAATCTTTATCTTTCTTATGTTCTGTTCTGAAAGTTCTTCTCTCTAAAATTCCCCACACTTAATTCCCTCATGACATTGCAGTAACACTACAACTTTAGAAATGTAAAGAAACACTCATTTAAACAATTATTCTCACTGTTTATGTAATAATTTCCAATATTAAGTGTTTGATCCTTCTGTGACACATAGAACATTGCAATAACAAAAAATTATGAATAAGATTTGTTTACGGTGCTTAGCAAAAGATTGTTTACTTAAGCAATCAATGAGTAATGCATGATGTGGAATCCTAAATACACGGCACAAATCCATGACCTAAAACACATCCACCCACCACTACAGACACACAGCATTATCCACCATGCAACATGCTCCTTTGAAGTACCATAGAGACTAGTATTACCTTTCACAGGTGAAGACAGACTCAGATGTGGTACCGGGTTCTCTGACTACGACCTTTTCACAGTACCAGTACTGTGATTTGTCACTGGCCTCACAGCGCAAGAGCACCTTCTGCAGTTTTCCAAGTGACACTGCTTCTACTTGAAATGTATCAATCTGGTGCAGAGACAGAGAAAAACCCCACACAAATAACTAGAGTCCAGCACATGACAAATGCAAGCAATAATAATAGCCCAAGGACTGCCTGAAGCAGCACAATACTTTTAAAAAGATACTGTTACTACAGTTAGCAATAAAAGGGGCAATAAAGGAAGAAAAATAAGCAAATGACTTTTTTATCTATTAACAATATATTTCTGGCTGTGTTTTTATCTATCCTGCAGTTTTATTTTCTCCATTTGTAGTAGCATCCAGTGTAACAAACACACACGCCCTAACACAAAGGCTTCCAGTCTGTGCTTTTTCTTCCACTTAGACACCTGCCCCTGAGAAACAGTTGATTAGGTGGTTGGTTGACAACCACGTGGCCTAACATGCAGCACACTTCCTTTCCATGATGTCGACATACACTGCGGCATGCAGGGCACAGTTTCATTCTCTCTCTCCTTCCTCCTTCCCTCCCTTTCTTTCTTCAATAAATCCCTTTCCCGCACCTTCTGTAAATAAAAATAGAGCATATTGTTGGGTTTGTTGTGAAAGAGCACCCTGGAATCTTCATCCCTAAATAAAATCAGCTTGTCATGTCGAAAATGCACTGACATTTCTGGAGAAACATAGGACCTGAAGTAAATGCTATATTGATTAGAATTTTTAAAAACTCCTTCACGTATTACTTCCTCATAGACTGTTATTGAGAATAACAACCCTAATATTATCTGAGGAAAGGGTCATGAGTTTAAGTCTGAGAAGTTCCCAGAAACAACAGTTGACTGTTAGTCACTGTCACTCTACTTCATAGTAAAAATGTGAATCCCGTACTGCCTGTATTTCCTATATGGGATAGGTTGTCTTAATAGCTACCTACATTATTACCAGGTTAAATTTCAATACAGTATTTGAAGATATACTACTTGGGTCTCAACTGCTGGTTCCACGTCATTAATGGAAATTTCCTCTTGTTTAGGCCAGACCCAAACCATTACTAGTCCAATAATGATGTTTCTGTAAATCCAATGCTGATTATTTGTGCATCTTCTCAGGTGTGCCTGGAGAGTCTCACTGTCAATATCCTGCATTTCCAGTGTGCCTTTACAAGGGACATTTCATGATGCACACCAGCTGTTGTAGCAGATGCAACTGATGCCCCAACCTGTGTTCTCTGGGTCCATTTCTGGGTTCATCTCTTGCTTTGTTAGATAGTTAGGAATGCTGACAGCTTTCTATCTCAGTCCCCTGTGTCTCCTACCTCTTTGCTTGAGGGTTTCCCCACAGTGGGACAATTCTGAAGGATATTCCACAAGGTTGCTCTGAAGGTCCTTAGCAAGAAGGAGCTCCAGCAGTAACCAGCTCATTAATGTCACTTTATTGGCTTTTCTTCCTTTCTGGCCTCACTGTCCTCACAACTTTACTTCCCAGGTACTTACTGGGATCATTTCCCCAATATATTACCTGCAACCAAGTCTTTGTCTCATTATCTGTTTTGGGGCATATTCAAACTATAATACCTCAAGTCCAGAAATATTGCCTGAATCATCTTTCTGTTTCTTCTTGTATCTTACAGTAACTTTAGGTTTGAAGATAGAATTAAACTGGGTCTGTTATATCTGTTACTGCCTTTGATTATACTGCTGGACACCTTTTAGAGAAAATGACAACAACCAGCCCAATCAGTGGTTTATGATGTGAGTTGTGACTGATATGAAATAATTGTGATCATAAAACTCCAGGATTGTTTACAACAATCTCTTGACTGCAAAACTCTTGAAATTATTTGGCATTTCCATTACATCCCATGCATTGAGGAAAATAATAGAAAAAAGTAAAATCTAAAATGAATCAGGAAAGAAAAGCACTTTTTTATCTGTGATTCTAAACTTCAAAACTGACACCATAAAACTACACTTTTACTCTTCTTTATACACTGATTGTACCTCCTACCCAATTTTAATTTCAGTCCATAGTACACCCTCCCCACTTTCTAGTAAATGCTGTATACAATGACAAATTGAAGAAGATCAATCATGAAGATGACTTGCAAAATCTTAGCATATAACTGCACATGACAGAGCACTGTTGCAAAATGCAACATGCTAGCTGACCAATTAGCAGGCGGCCAGGAGAGAACATCCAGCATTTATCATGAACTAGGTAGGGTAAAGAGTGTGGGACTGATGCAAAGCTAGCAGGGTTCTTTAGAGGATAACTTCGCGGATCACTTAGCATAACATCAATAATAATATCATGATATCTAAAATTTTGTTTCTGCTCCAAATTAATAACTCACGTGTGATAACAAAAATTAGGCATAATTTTGGTTTGGTTTTTTCTCATCCAAAGAAGAACTAGTTTTCCTATTCATTCTAGTGAAAGCTTTTGTGTAATCTATGGTAACAAATAAAACGCATAGGTGAGCTTAAGACCTTTGAAGTTTCATAATATTTCACAAACTACAACAAAAAAGTCTGAAAAATAGTACTTTCAAACTGGTTTAAGTCGTCTTCCTTCTTAAAAATATACCTTTGGGTTACATAATCCCCAATCTTAATTTCAGACCCCCAAATAGTATCTTCTTTACATATATACCAAAATAACATTAAAAAATAATTGGGTTTACATATGAGTGGTCTTCAAAAAGTTCACAGAAAGATTCACATTATCTTTTAATTCCATTTTTCCATGAACTTTTTGGAGTACCCTTGTAGTGGGATACCAATGTAACTTCTCAAACATATATAGAAAAACTCATGCTTGCATATGAAAGACAAAGGGAAGTAATGAAGAGCTTTAGGTGTGAAAATAATATAGTTGCCTCCATTCAAGATGTTTTAAAGAAAGGCCATTGTGTTACTATATGAAATATACTATAATGGCCCTTCTATGACATTTTTAGAATAATGCTTTGTATCTTTCAGTCCTGACAGAGCATGGTCATATATATATTTTCCTGATATCTTCTCAACTCATTTTTTTCTTTTTCTTACACCATCACTAATTTTTAATGTCTTTTTCTTTGCTCTATTATTCATTATTGGTTTAGTGTGTCCAATTTTTCTTTCAAGAACAACTTCTAAAACAAAGCACATTAGGAGGTCAAGTCAGGAAAACTTGTGTTAAAGAAGGCCTAAAACTAAAACTTGAAGAGTATCAAACACCTTTTAAATTTTAAATCATATATGGCCACCTTCAGAGAGATTGCTAAGAACATGGGAAAGTTATTTACACATACTCACCTGTCCTCTTTGAAATTTTACTGGCATGTTAGATTTGTACAGCAGTCTGAGGCCAGAGTCTCCTCTCTCCCCATAGAGGCAGAGGAAAACCTTGGACTCTGTTTCTGCTTGCCTCAGCTGCCCAGTGTAGACATCAACTTGGTATCTCACTACTATCAAACCAATGGAGAGAGAAAACAAGAAGAAATCCATTACCTTGGAATTCATACAAACGGAACCCAGATCCATGGGTTCTCAGGCTACAGTAAAAACATATAGGAACTCCTCTAAACTGGATTTTCTGTGTCTTTTGAGAGACTTTCGATCATTTAATTATTACTTTTTAATCATACATGGGCATTTTTATACCATAAACAAATGCCTAGAGGGTTTGTAGCTTTTTCAGAAAGAGAAATAAATTATTTGTAAGAGGCTGTTCTTCTAACGTGACATAGGATGACATTTTATGCTTAGTATTTTAGTGGCAAGAGTAACACTGCTATTGTACATGATGTTTAAAGTTTAAAATGATATAAGGTTTGATAAGGAAATAAATCAAAAGTTAAGTGATAGCATGAGGTGGACAGCTGGCCTCAGGAAAAGCCAGACGAAGTGCAGCCATGACACTTCTTATCTCTCATAGCCTCAGCCTCTGTGACTGTAGCTGGACCCTAAGAACTACTTTGGAATTACATTTAATCCCAGATCCACCAGTGACTCATGCTGTGACACTGAAAAAGTCACTTCTCGAAGGGTAAAATAACTTTCTTAGCAACAGGATAAATATTACGTAACCAAATAGTTCATAAGTAAATTAAAGCAACTACAAAAAATTTTGTTTATGTAATATATGCTACTGAAGATTAATAACACACATGGAAAAATAGCTTGTCCTCCTTTTACTACAGGAAGCTCACACACAATGTCCCCATCTGCTTGGATCCGAGAGAGCCACACGTTTGCTGCAAAATCCAGGACCTTCTTGCTTTTCCTATGTTGCATGGTCACCTGTGATTAGAAGAAACAATTGCTAAATTATTAGATATCCAGTTTCTCATAGAACTCAGAATTCAAAGTGCACCCCAGAGTTAACAAAACATACTGCATACTGTGATGGTGATGGTGGTTAATAGTAGTAGTGTTAATAATGGCTACTGCTTATTAGGCAATTATTATTTGCCAAGTATTATGCTAAGTGATTTGTTTTAATTATCTTTTAATCATCACTAGTTAGATTGGTAAAATTCTTACAATTTTATAGATAAGGAAATGCAGGCTTGGAGATCTGAAACAAACTCTGTCTGATTTGAAGCTTTCGATTTCACATATAATAATGACCCAAAAAAGTAATCTATAGGAGAAACTCCAAGAGATTTTGTGCTCATATTAGTCACCAAAACAGGCCATATGGCAAGACTTTTAAAATTTTTAGAATGCCTTTTAAGTGTATTTACAACATGTTATAGGCTGTGAATAAGCCCTCAGTTGCCACAGCCAAGTGCCTGCACTCTGCAGCATGCGGTCAGTTTCCTTTGTCTCCCTGTGCAATGAATCCTCAGCAGACCCCTCATTAGCTCTAGCTCCTTTGCTGGCTATTTAACACAAACGCCCCCTTTGCCTTATCTTCCCCTTCACATCTCAGCAGATTAGCAGAGGACTTCCAGATGGAATTTCACAATTGTTTGCCTTCTCCCCTGTCACAATGAATGAAATATCCTTCTCCTTTTAAGATCCTAGTTTGTCTTCTAAACAAGTCCCTGTCCGTCTTCAATTTTCTCTGCTTCCTGGCCTTAGGAACAGGTGTCCCATTTCTCAGATGGCTTTCTCTCAGAGCCCACTGCCATAACCACTTTCAGCCATTCTTGCTCCCCTCCAACCCTACCTTTAGGCTGTCTTAAGGGAGATTATTCTAAAATAGAAATCTGATTGTTTTGTACACTGCTCACAACTTTTTCAATAATCCTACCTATAGTATGAAATCTAAATCCTCAACACAATGAGCAGCTTAGGATCAGATTGTAGTCTTGCTAGACACTTCCTCCTCACATCCCATATGCTAGCTGTACTTATCTACTCATGGTTCCACAACCTGACCACATTCCTTCTCACCTCAAAGTTTTCACACAAAATTATTTTGAGCCCTCTCCCTGATCATAAAATCTTCAATTGTTCCAGTGGTCCTGAGACTCAGAGGCTAGGCTGCTTACTTGGAAATTGGAGAGACAGCAGTGGTGAATGAATGAAAGAGAAGTGATCCATCCTTCAGCAGAGGCCTGTTTAATGGGTCATCTTGTTGCTAATGATTCATTAGTGAAAGAGGGTGTTTCATCCTTTTTATTTCCCTTCCTGGAGCCTCTTATGATATCTATTACTTTGCTTTATTTGGGGTAAAAAGAAATGTTACTCCTTAAGCTATATAGAGGGAAATACTCCTCAAAAGCCAGCAAATGGTATTCCTAAACAAAAAGACCTAACCAGGGGCACAGCCCCAACTACATGCAGGTGACTCAGAGTAGGAGCACACAGGCCCTCGGCCTGCTAGCAGCAACATTTCTTACGGTGGATGTGCACAGCACTGCGCTGGCATGAGTTTAACAAAAAAACCTGTCTCTACCATCAAGGAGATTTTATAGACTATCTGTGAGGTACAAACCCAAACTATTTAAATAACACGAGGCTACATGAAAGCAGCATATCAATAAATACGTTTCAATGCAGACTAAGTTTTGTGGGATTCAGAATAATGCAAAGATCAGATAAGAATAAGAATAATTTAGGTATTTCAGATATATGGAGGTCATAACAGATGAATAAGAGTCTTTCAGATTCTGGACTTAAAGCCTTCACCATGAAATATAAGGTTTTTACAACGTCATTCTACTTGAAACTCCAGCAGATTCTTCCTCTAAACTCTCCATGGAAATTGGCAAGAAGTCTCTGGTTTCTGAGGTACCACCATCCCTTCAACCTTAGATGGACCCACTAATGAGTGAGTCTCTCTGATTTGACTTAACACCATCCCACACGCTACTGGAAAGCCTCAGGGGGAGGGCTCTAAATGAGTTCCATTTACCTTCAAAGTTACGATGCCTCAAAACACAAAAACAAAGAATCTAAGTTAATTTGTTCTTTTAAAAGCAATAGACGGATATAGCAGTGGTTCTCAACTGGATGAGATTTTGCCCCCTAGAAGACATATGGCAATGTCTAGAGACACTTTTGGTCAAAAACTAGGTGGAGAGAATGAGGTATGAGGCCTGCTAGCATCTAGCCGGTGGAAGTTAGGGAAGATGCCTTAACATTCCACAATCACAGGACAACCCTCCACAACAAGGAATTATATGGCTACAAATACCAGTAGTGCCAAGGCTGAAAAATCCTGCAATATAAAAATAAATAGTTGCTTAATAGATAGCTCCATAATTAAATAGAGTGAAATAGGTAGATAAAGAGAAAGAGAGATACATACATAAATCTTAGCTCCAGTTGTGTTCATTTCTGTTTTTAACATTCACAAAATTTTTTTCAATTGTTAAAGTAATACAAGAGGGCAAAATTCTTGGAAGAACACAATGCATAACCCCAGTCTATAGTAGCTAATAGCAGGATTGGTAAAAGGCATGTGGCAAATGAAACAAATCTGGATTTGGGTCAAAAGACCTTGGATTATGTCCTGGCACTGCTACTTACCAGGTGTACAGCCTTGGGTAAAAGTTCCACAAGATGATCTGTGATCTTCAGGTTCTCATTTGCAAAATTGGCATTGTAATCTGTCTGACAAGGTTGAAGAGTGCTTTATGTACTAAATCAAGATAAAACACCTTATGGAAAACAGTCTGTGTACTATAAATGATTAGACATAGGAACTTATTTCCCAAAGCAGAGCTTTCTCAAGAGTCAGTCATAATATCCACAATTATTATTTTAGAAACTTCATTTCAGAACGTCTGATTTTCCCAGTTGGCCATAAAGTTCATGTGCCTAGGAGTCAGACCACTTCTTTTTCAGATCCACATGCTAGCTTTGTGATATTGGGAATTGCTTATCTTCTCAAAACCTCAATTTCCTTAACTGGGATAATAATAATCTACCTAGTTGCAGTATAAACACTGAAAGTGATAATGTATACCCAGAGTACTCAACAAATGTTTATTGTTATTAGTAGTAGTATTATCAAAATTAATCATAGACCTTAAAGATCAGAATTCTTAACTATTACTTGAGGTTGCTTGTGGTTCCCCACTCTCTAACATCCTCCTAGAGACTGCATAAGGAAAATTTCAGCCAAATGCTTGGGTCTTTATTATCAGAAAGAGAAATTCTATTCCAAATTCCCTAACTCCCACTCTACTTGGGTGAGCTGACCAGAACCATATGGGAAAATAGATAATGGCCTTTTTTGCTTCTCCCCAGCTAAGCCAATCTGAAGTAGTTTCTCTTGCTTTCTGTCTTCTGGGCCCCTTCCTGATTCTCTAGCTCATCAGTCATGGGATTCATAAGCAAAAGGCAGAATCTATAACTTCAAAAGAAAGAGACATCCAAAGTCTTTGGAATCCCAAAGCTATCCTCTAAGCCTTCTCTCCCACTCATCCCACTTCCCCAGTAAAGTTCTCAAGCACTTCTAGTCTCCTAGATCCCTGCATAATCCTTGCATGCTTTCCCTCCCATTCTGGTCCTTTGTACCTCAGGCAGGAACATATAAGAAAAATAGTGTCCATTCCTCTCTAAACTGCGAGGACTGGCACTGTCCCAACTTATCTACATGGCTTTACCTCTTCTGCTAACGTCCTTCCCTTCACCATTTCCCTAATTGTCCTTAGTGCCTATCTTTGATGTCAACCAATAAAACCAGTGGAGTAAGAATCAGGTCCACGTGGGTTGGAGGGAAGGCCACAAATGTGGCCAGAACACTTAGGGTCCTAAGGGCAGAGTGAACAAGCTGCCCTCTGCCCTGGCCTGGCCCCACATCTTTTTTGCCTTTAGAATTGAGACTAAATGTAATTAGTAACTAACGGCAATTACCACCATCTATATTAGTATATTGTTTTATAAAAAACTTCATATATTTTATTTAATCCTAAATTTAATCTTGTATTTTCTTGGAGGAGAACTGATATATAATGAAAGTAAACAAGCATTTTCTGAGAGCTACACATGTAGCCAGTTGTCTGCTGGACACCAGACATAAGATGAAGAATATATTAGGATGAGGAAGGTTAAGAAAAATGTTTTTTAGAAATCCTACCATGAAACGTCATAAACCTTTGGGTCTATAAAACGAAGAATCTGTAATACTTTTACTCTAATTATATTTTCGATGTATACAAAGCTTTTTCTAAAAAATAAGGCAAATAGTCACCAACACATTTGTTGGACACTTAGAATGTTTATAGTATTCTACAAGATCTGGTACTGGGAAGCAGGGAGCAAATCCTAGTGTCAGTCATTAGTATTTTCATTTTGGTTCTGATGAAAACAGTAAAGTTTAAATGTGTTCTCAGAGAACACTGTAAGTGCTCTTGTATATCAGATACAAAGTCAAAGCTTGATTCCTTATTTCTCGTCTTGTGCCTTGTGATAACACCCTTTGTTACAAGGACTGTACAAGGAGGATCAACTATGGTATTTACAATTGACTAAGGGACTATTAAATGCATGAATTTATTTATCTTTGATTCAAATAAACTGGCACAACTTTTAGAATGTTTCTATAAACTGCTGGAGTCTTTGAGATTAAACATTTGACTGGAGATTTTGTGAGAAAAAGCTGGTGCTTCCTGCTGTTCACTGAACTAGAAAATCCTCAGAAACAATTTTTCTTACTGCATTTCAGAACTTGTTCTTTCCTTTCTGTGGTTCTTTCTAGAACCCTGAAGTAAAGAAGTAACTAAAAATTAAAAGGAACTGGAAATATTTACAAGATGCTTTAAAACTTCCAAATAAAT